GGGGGTGGGGGGGGAGAGAGGGGGGAAATATTTTCTTCGCTAAATAAAACCTCCTCAGTTCATCAAGGTAGTCACTCTGTTTGCCTTTTTTGATGTGTGTGTCTTCGCGTGAGATTAAATTGCCGTGTATCACATGCGAAAATTGTCAAAAAAAAAAGGCATGGTGAAACCCCAAACTAAATAAGAGAAAAAAAAATAGTCTAACTTTGTTATTTGTGAAGAGATATAAACACAAAAAATCTGGTCGAAGTCCTTTGATCCTCCCCTCCACTCCTCTACCCATTACTATTTCTTTTTTCTTTGTTTTTTGTTTTCCCCCCCCCCCCTCCCACGCACACACCATTTCATTGGTTATTCGTCCGTCGATAACAGAAGGGCGGTACCGCGTTTGGTGTAGTGTTCTGGAACGGCATCCCCGCTCTCGAGGTCGATCGCGACGACAAAAGAGGGCCTCTCGCGGGTTCCGGTACGAATAGGGTACATATAAAGCGGGGCCTTGTAAATGGACTCCGTGGGCGGCTTGTTGGTGTGCAACTTAGGGATAAAGTGAATCACCGGCATGCGCACAATAAGCTCCATCGGATTCGGCTCGCAGAGGGTGTTGTTCTCGAAATTCCACCCCGCCCCCTCGAGGTAGATGCCGCGGACGTAAGCCCCCTTTTTCGGGCCGTGGATGATGCTCCGCTCCTCCTGCGTGAGCAGGAGGAACTCCCACCCGTATTGATCAATCGAGACGCGATCGGTGCGGGCCTGTTGTTGTTGTAAACTTTTGAGGAATCCGGTCGGGTATGTGAGGCCGGAGAGCCAAAAGACGGCGGGGGTTCGCTGCCCCCACATCTTCAGCTGCTCCACCCGCCCTACCAAATCGACCGACCAGCTCGCGAGGGGTTTGAGACTGGGGTAGGCGCTCCCCCACGCCACGGGGACGCGGCCGAGGAGGAGGGCCGTGAAGATGCCCTCGAGCTCGTCCGACATGACGATGCGGCCGCGCACGGCGAGCCGCAGCTCCCCGCGCTGGCGGTGAATCTTCGCCAGCAGCAGGTTAAACCGCTGGACCTCCTGCAGAAGGCAGGTGTTGAGCGCGCTCTGGCGCTCCTCGCTGGTGGCCTCGAAAATGGCGTCGTAGTCGATCAAGGCCGGGATCGCGGCCTTACTGGGCTCCTCCAGCGAGGCCAAGATATCCAAGCAGCGATCCTCCTGCGAGGGCGGCCGCGCGGAGCCGGGCCCGCCGCTGCTCCCCATGCCCGTACTTCCACTTCCCCCGCCGCCGCCGCCGCCGCCGCCGCCGCCGCGCGCGAGGGTGGCGTTGATGCCGATCAAATTCTCCAACAACGCGCTGGACTCGGCGATGCGGCTGGCGATGTCGGCGTTGGCGTGTTGGCCGAAGGCCTCGGCGGGGTCCGTGATGGGGAGCCGCGCGCATTCCTGCAGGCAGGCCTGCACCGTCGTGCACTCCGCCGGGATGACGTACTCGGCGGCGGCGGAAAGCGCGTAGCGCTCCTCGCGCACCCCTCGGACGCACATGTACTGCGCGATGTAGGTGTTGAGCAGGCGCCGGTCCCAGTCGTCGGTGACCCGCCCGCCGTAGGAGGCCTCCGCGATCAGGTAGCGAATCGTCACGAACGGGATGTCCTCCGGGAGGTCGGAAAGGGTGTGGTGGAGATAGCGCTCTAGGATGTTCTCCGAGACCTCGAAGTCGGCGGCGGTGAAGTCGTAGAGGACGTTGTAGCCCAGGGTCCCGTACTTCCGCCGCTCCAGCAGGACGCTGTGAAAGAAGCAGAGCGCGAAGAGGAGGTTGCGGTAGAACACAGGGTGGGCCCCGCCGTGGTCGGCGAACTGCTCCTCGCTGATGCCGTTGTAGAGGCGGAGCATGTTGCCTTTGATCCCTTTGGGCGGCTCCGTCGTCATTTTGATCGCGCGCTGGAGAATCCCAATCGGGAAGCCCGGGGTGGGGACCGAGCTCAGCCAGAGGCGGAAATCCTTGTGCGGGTTCTGCTCCGCCAGGTCGTCGATGATCTTCTCCAGCTCCACCAACCAGGAGACCATCAAATGGCAATTCGCGAGGAAGACCCAGCCGCCGGTCTGGCTGAGCTCCTGAATCGCGCGCTTGGCGTTCTCGCCCTGGCCTTGGCCGAGGGCGAGGGTTTTGAGGGTGTGGCCCTCGCGCTGGGCGATCGCGTTCAGCTGCGTCGTCGGGTCCACCCCGGCGGAGAGGACGAACACCAGCGGGATCGAATTGCTGCTCTCCTCGTAGGCCTCCTTGAGGTTGAAACTCGGCGGCTCGACGAACTGCGAGCCGAGCTGGTCCTCGATAAACTCGTAGACCATAAACACCAGCCGATCCGGGCGGAGACAGCGAACAAAGATCATCTTTTGGATGTAGTTATCCCGGCAGAGGTTCTGCCAGTCCCCCGGGAGCTCGGCCTCCTCGGGGAGCTCCAGAAGGTACCACTCCCGCCAGAGATCGGCGTTCTGCTCGACGTGGGCGGCGATGCCGTGAAAATTGGTGAGTTTGTCGAGCTCGAGCAGATGATCCCAACACCGCTCCGAGAGCCATAGCGGGGCCGGGTTCGGCAGGCGGCCTTGCTTGTCCAAAATCTGCCCCCCGCGCATCAAAAAGGTGTACTCCTCCAGGTTCACCTTCCCCGCCGCCTGCAAAATGCGCATCGTCATGTGAAAGGCAAAGAGCAGCTTGTGTTGTTCGAAAAGACCGCGGCAGGTGTTGGTGTAGACCGCCGCCGTATGCCACGTGTTCAGGGTCTTAATCCGCTCCTCCATCGAGCGAGACGTGATCTTCTCCGTCGAGCGGCGGATGCTGTTTTGGAAGAGCTCAATGTAGGAGTCCAGCGCGAATTGGTACATCGAATCAATCGCGCCGAGGTCCGCCAGGACGAAAAAGAGTATCGACGCCCGCTGCGCGCACTCGCGGTACTCCTCGCGCGCCTGCGAGATCTTCACCGAGGTCTCCTCCGACTCCTTGAGTTGTTTTTTGATGTTCGCCGCGGTGACCTTGGCGGACTGCAAAGTGTCGATCAGCCGTTTATTCTCCAGCAGCGAGCACTGGAAGCTCGAGAGCAAATCGAGAATGTCATCCTCCAGCCGCTTCGTCTCCTTCTTCGCGGCGGCCATGTCCAAAATGAGCTTCTCGTTCTCGTGCTCCAGCTCGGGCTTCTCGCGCTCCACGACGATTTTCAGCAGCTGCTCCTCCAGGCCCTGCTCCTTGACGGCGAAGTTCAACAAACACACTTTGGTGCAGGTCTCCGGCGAGTAGTGCGGGTTCGACAGGCGGGTGGTGATGTATAATTTAAAGTTCTCGTTGTACTCGATGTAGTTATCCCCGAGCTTGACGAGCTGCCGATTTCCTTTGCGGATAATCGCCCTGGACATGATGGGGTCGAGAATCGGGTCGATCTCCTCCAGGACGTCCTGCAAAAGCAGCGGACAGCCCAGCAAGACGGCGTTCTCGACCGTTTTTTGGAAGTCCGGCTGCTTGGGGTCGATCATCTTGAGCCCGTTATCGCGCTCCATGCGTTTAATCCACTTAATCGCCTGCTGTTGGGGGTCGATCATCAGCGGATAGCGCGGGCCGCACATCGCGATCGCGCCGTTCTCGCGGCTAAAGTCATCCCCGGGAAGCCCGGTTTGGTGCCAATCCCGCACCTCCGTCGGGTCGACCAAGAAATTCACGAAATTGAAGTCGCGATTCATGCAAAGTTGGAGCCGGCGCATCTCTTTTAGCCAACTCTGCCAGAGCAGCAGGCGATAATCGGCGGTGAAGGCCCCGCAATAGCTCATAAACCCCGTCGCGAGCAGCGTATCGCCGCGGATGTTCCCCAGGTCGATCTCGTAGCGCGCGATGGACTCCGTCCAGCGATCGCGCTCGCCCTCCAGGCCGTCCACGATAATCCGCGCGCGGCTGAGTTTGTCCTGCGTCTCCCGGGCATCGCGCATGAGCTGATTTTTCTCGTTGATGTTGGTCTGCAGGTCCGCCTCGAGGCGCCGGACCTCGTCCACGATGCGCTGGAGCTTCTCCTCTTTCTGTCGGAGCATCTCCTCCTGCGCGCGGACGCGTTGATGGGCGTTTTCGTTCTTCACAATCTTCGGGTGGACCTCTTTGTAGATGTTGCCGTACTTGTGAATCGCGATCACCCACTGGCAAAGCCCCCCGGCCGCCTTCGAGACCGAGCTCGCGGCGGCCGGCGTGAAGTCGTGCCGCTTGACGAACTTGTCCAGGCTGTTCAACAACTTCTGATCCGTCATATCGTGCGTTTCGTGATAGGTTTTCAGCATGTCAATGAACTTCGGCTCGCTGAGGGACTTCTTCGCCTCATCCCAGTCCAGCTTGCGGTGGAGGGCGGTTTGGACGGCCTCCATCACCGTATGCACCATCGCCGCGGGGGTTTTGTAGGATTTGACCTCGTTGATATCGCTCTTGTCGAGCTTGTCGAGCGCGGCCTGGGCCTCCAGAAGCGTCGGCATCGCGCGGTCGAGGTCGGCTTGGGCCTCCGTCTGATCCCCCAACGCGGCGCGCTTGGCCTGCTCGATTTTGACCTTCTCGGAGGCGACGAGGGTTTGCTGCTCCTCCGCGATGCGCTGGCGGACCTGGATGCTCTCCGTGGCCTTGGAGACCTCCTCGGACTTGAGCTGGAGCTTCTCGTCCTGGACTTTGAGGCTCTCGGTCATGCGGCTCACCGTCAGCTTCGTCTCCTCGAGCTTCGACATCCCGTTCGCGAGTTTGTCCCGCTGCTCCGTGATGTCCTCGCACTTTCGCGTCAACATCGCGCGGAAGCCGCGGACGAGGTCCAAATAGGAGGACGGGGTGACGTAATTATAGCGGTGGAGGTGCTCCCGCATCTGCTGCGAGCGCTCCCCGGTGGTGTCGTGCATGTAAACAAACATATCGCAAATCGTATTAAGCTCCTCCTCGGTTTCGTCCGACTCGGCGGTTTCCTTCAAGTACCGCAGGCCGATCTCCTTCAGCGCCTCCGTCGGCCACGCGGCGAACCAGTCGATGCAGGTGCAGGACACCAACGCGGGGAACTGCCGAAGCCAATCGCGAAACTCCTTCTTCGCCGGGGACATCGCGACGACGAGGTGCAGGTGGCGCCGCGCCTTTTCCAGGAAGAAGTTGTAGAGCTCGTCCGGGGCATCCCGGCAGCCCTCCAAAAGCGCGAGCTTCCGCACATCCTCCTGGATCTGGCGGAGCTCGTCCTTGACGAAGAGGTTCGGGACCTCGCCGGAGGACAGCATGTTGTTGATGTCCTCTAGGAAGGCTGCGTGCATGACCTGGTTGTCGGAAAAGTAAAACACCTTGTTCTGGTGCTTCACCCCGCAGGCCTTGTAGAGGGTGCGGAGATTCTCGTGAAAGCACTCGATGTCGTACTTTTTGTGAACCTCGATGGTGAAGAACGTATAGCCGGCGAGGTAGGCGGCGAGGCGGGTGAGGGAGCTGCGGCCGCTGCCCCCGAGCCCCACCAACAACGCGTTCCCGTGCGGGAGGCGAATGATGCGGTGAATCCGACAGAGATGGCAGAGGGCGTCGTTGAAAAAGACAAGGTTGACGGGCCGCGTGCCGGGCTCCGCGTTGAACTGCTCCATACTCTCCTCCACGCGCTGGCGAAGGGCCTCCATGGAGGGGACAAAGCGGTACTTCGCCATCTCGTCGTACTCGCCATCCCAGAAATCGACAAAAATCGGGCTCTCGTTTTCCGTCACCGGCGGCGGCGGCGGCGGGGGATGCGCCGCGTAGGATTTTCCTCCGCCTCCCAGTGCCGTCCTCCCCCCCCCGGCTTCTTTAATAAAGGATTTCAAAATGCTCACCCACTTTGTCTGGAAGTCGTTGTTGAGCTTCTCGTTGAGGATTTGGTGAAACCACGCGCGGTCGGCGTCGTTGTTCATGCGATCGGCAAAAACGCGCTCGCACTCGTGCAGCCAAAGCCCCGCGAGGTGCTCCTTGCAGGTCAGCGAGGACAAATCGCAGCCGTAGATGCCCTGGAAGACTTTGCTCAAATCGCGCAGGCTGAAAAGGTAGTGGGATTTGCTCGGGATCGGCAAGAGCTCGGCGGAGACCCGCGCGTAGGTCGCGATCGTCGCCTTGACGATCGCGCTGATGTAGCCGCGCAGGTCCCCAAAAGGCGCCAGGCGATTCTCCAAAATCGCCGTGTAGATCTTCTCAATCACCGTCTCGGTGGGGAAGGTGATGTTGAAGATGTTCAGCTTGCTCATAAACCGCTCCGAGATGTCGGGGCGGCCGTAGGTCATACAACAGAGGAGCTGCATATCGTTCACCTTCCGCTGCGCGCGGGTTTGGCTGTCGTACCAAAACCCATTATCCAACCACTGCCGAAGCAGTTCGAGCGGGGGCTGGGCGCCGAATTTCTCCTTCGCCGGCATATTCAAGTCCTCGATGAGGCAAATCATGCGCCGCCCGTGCGGGGGGGCGCAGACTTTTTTGGATTTGTGCTCCATCCGGCCCTCGATGATGTCCTGGACGTTGCGCGCGGAGGTCCGCGCGGAGAGGTTCAGCGCCGCCGTCATGTGGGTCTCGCGGCTCAGGCCGGCGAGAACTTTCCGCGCGAGGAGCGACTTCCCCGTCCCCGCCATCCCCACCAGGACTAAATGCACGCGGCTCCGCACGAGCTGCGAGATGAGATATTCATACCGCACCGTATCCAAAGTCGGGACGATCTGCGCGTGGTAGGGCGTCGCGGCCGGCGGGGCGAAGCGCGCGCGAAGCCCCGGGTGCTCCTCCCACGCGCACCACCGCAGCCCCTGCAGCTCCGGGAAGTACTCGAAGACGGTCTCCGTCGACGGGAAGGACGAGTCCATCTCGCGAATGAAGGAGTCCAACTTCTGCCGCGAGGGCGCCGTCAAGGGCCCGCCGACCGCCCAGACCAGGCAAAACATCGCCAACATCCGAAGTTGAGGGAGGTAATTGTCGCCGGCCTGCGAGGTTTGGTAGGCGGCCCCGCCCGGGATCACCGGGCGGGCCTCCGACGTCGCCAGGGCGTCGAACATCGTCGTGAAGGAGCGGACGGTGTTGAGGGTCGTCGTGGGCATCAAATCCGCGCACTCCGCGGCCTTGAAGGCCAGCGTGCTCGCCAGCGTGTTCAGGACGAAGTCCTCCAACTCGTGAATCGTGGCGTCCGGCTTCGGGGTGTTCAGCGCGATCTCGAAATTCCGCCGCGAGCGAAGCCACGTCATGGCGAAAGGCTGCCAGCCCAGATCCTCCACGGTGAAGTACACCATCCCGCACCGCGAGACCGTCGCCGGGGAGGCCTGCGAGAGGTCCTGCACCTCAAACAACATACTCACGCTGGGGTTGAGGTTGATTCGCTCCCCGGAGTTCAAGGTGAGCATCTTGTTATCGTCCAGGACGGTGTTCATGGACTCAATCCACAGCGTATCCACCGGGCCGTCAAAAAGCAGCCACTTGTAGTGCGTCTCCGAGGCGTCGCGGCAGATCTGCCGCATGAGGTCGGACAAAATGCCATCCTTCCACTCCCGCGTGGCCTGATTATAGCTGCCGTACAACTCGTCCATCGTGACCGACTTGGGGTTGAGCAGGGAAACCCGCACCGGCTCGTAGGGGCCGCCGAGGCCGCTGTCGGCGAGCCGCTTCAGCGCCCCTGCGAGGGTTCGCCAGGTCACCGTCTTGCCGGACCCCGACAGCCCCACCACCATCACCCCATGCCGCGTCCGCAGCGTATCCCACAAGTGCAGGGTTTTGCTCAGGATCTGCGCGTTCTTCTCGAGGTTCGCGGCCTCGAGCTCGTCGAGGGCGGCCGCCCAAAGCTCCTCCAGCCCGCTCCCCTGCGGCTCCACGCCCGGGAAGAGATCCCCCAACATCGCGAGGAAAAGCGGGACGTCCGCCTTGACGAACTTCGGCAGGTTCATGTCCTTCATCGCCTTGAGGCAAAGCTGGGACTCGGTCCCTGGGAAGTTCTCCCGCTTGAGGTTGCCCGCCTGCACGAGGACCGCCTTGATGTTGCGCAGGGAGAAGTCGTAGTGGTCCTGCTTCGACAGCTGGTTCTCCATCAGCTCGTAGAGGATGGAGACCTTCTTCGACAGCCCCTCCGACTCCTCGAAGCCCTCGGAGAGCATCGTGATCTCGCAGATCAGGCCGAAATCAGGCACCATCATCGAAATCGGGCGGAGGAGGGCCTTGAGGTTGTCCGGGAGCTCGGAGCGCCCGGCGTAGCCCGGGTTCATCGTGACGAAGATCCCGCAATTCAGATTGAGCGGGATCTCCGTCCCTTCGAACAGAAACGCCTGCCGGCGCTCGGAGACGGCGGCCAGGATGGACAAAATCTGCTGCGCGACGACCGAAAGCACCTCGACCTCGATCCGATTAAACTCGTCAAAGCAGGACCACGCGCCGGTTTGCGCGATCCCGCTCAGCATCCGCCCGACGGAGCGGTAGTCCAAACTTTCGGAGCAGTTAAAGACCATCACGTACTTCCCGATCGCCTTGCCGAGGTCCTTGACGGTTTCGGTCTTCCCGGTCCCCGCCGGGCCCTGCGGGAGGCCGCCGCGGAAGAGCTGCAGGGCCGTCGTCAACATCATATAGGCGCGATCGGTCAGCCCGGTAATCACCAGCCGCCCGCTATTCCCGAGGTACTCGTAATCGTACCGCACCACCGCGCTGGTCTGGCGAACCACGCAGACCCGCGGCGCCGAGCGCGCGATCCCGGGCGAAATCCCCTCCGCCCCGGCCGCATTCCCGGCGCCGTTGGCGGGCGAACTCGCGCCCGCCCCGCCGGTCGCCCCGTTCGTGAAGGACAAGTGGCCATTCCCGGCGCCCGGCGAGAGCAGGGCCGGGGGGTCCTCGGCGTAGAACCGCAGCTGCCGCGACCACTCGAAGTCGTCGAGTTGGTGAACCCGGCGGGCGAGGAGATGGCGAAGGACATCCCGCGCGTGGACCTCGATGGTCACCAGGGCGACCAACTTCGTGCGCTGGAGCCGGCTCTGGGGCTGGCGGACCATCTGGCAGTACTTCCGAATCATCCCTTTCCACTTCTTGTAGACGCGGTATAAAGGGGAGAGCTTGCGCCGCGCGAGGCTGAGCCCGGCGCTGGTGTGGAGCTCGCCGTACTCGCCGATCGCGAGCTCGACCTGCTGCGTCCAGTTGATCGACGCCGCGGTGATGAGGGACTGGCCTTCGTTCCGCTCCACCCAGGCCTTGAGCTTCTCGCGGTTGATCGGGTGGCGCGGGTCGTAGACGCCGCGCTGGAGGTCGTGGAGGGTGCGATTGACGCTGGATTGGACCGTCTCCCGCATCTTCGCCTCGACGTTGCGGAGCCAAACCTCGACCGGCAGGCCGTCGAGCGGCATCGGCATCCCGAACGGCACGAACTCCCCGTCCGCGGAGGCCATCCCCTCCACGATCGTCCGGCCCCGCACCTGCTTGAGGGAAAGCTGGTAAAGCCCCTCGAAGCACTTGCGAAGGTGCGGCTGGACCTTCGACGGCTCCTTCACGTGGCCCAAAATCTCCAGCAGGTCGTCATTCGACAGGAAATAAAACCGCGGGAAGACCCGCCGGCGGTCCTCCAAAAACCACTCCAGGCTTTTCTGGATCACCTCCAACTCCGCGCTCATGGTGTTGAGCTGGTCCAGCAGGGTATCCCGCCGCGTCCCGCGGACGACGTTCGGGTCCTTGACCAACCGCGACATGATGGTCAGCCATTGGGCGTGGATGGAGTCGAACTTCTTGGCCTCCGCGACGAGCTTGCGCTTGATATCCTCAGAGCCGATGAAGATGTTTTCGAGGTACATCCATTTGGTCTGCACGTTCATCAGCCCTTCCATCGTGTCGGTGACGATGGAGAGGGTCTGCTCCCACTGAATCACCCGCCCGCGGAAGTTCTCCACGAAGCGGGACATCTTCGACGCGGTCAGCAGCGTCAGGTGCTCCGCCAGGGCGGTGTTTAGGTCGTCCAGGTGGGTGATGCGGTTGTAGCCCTGATGGGGCTCGATCGTGAAGCTCGCGGCGTCCCAGTACTGGTGGATCTTGTCCAGGTTCGTCTCGATCTTCAGCTCCTCGCGGGCGGCGACCGAGAGGTTGGCGATGAACTCCGCCTGCGTCTCCACCCGCGCGTCCATCAGGCACTGCAGGCAAAACCCCTCGTCGTTGATGTCGAAGTCGATGTCCATCTGCAGTTTGATCAACTCCCAGTGCCGCTGCCGCATCGCCGGCGTTCGCATGTCGTCAATGATCGGCAGAATCTTCTTCAGAAGGTCAATGTCGTCCTTGAGGCGGAGCCAGACGTCGAAGTGCTCGAGGTCCTTGCGGAGGCCGAGCACCTCGCGGCGGATCTTCTCCAGCCCTTCCAACATCAGGTCGCTATTGAGGGTCATGAAGTACATGTGCATCCAGCGATGCCGCCGGAGCTTCCACTTCTCCACCAGCCCCCAGAGCTGCCGCAGGAGCGCGAGCTGGGACTCGGCGCTGGCGAGATCCTCCAGCCCGGGCCGGGCGAGGTTGAAGATCTCGATCCCGTGTTGGAGGTCCTGCTCGGTGCGCCGAAGCCCGCGCGCGCGGCCCTCCATCCCCTCCAGCTCCGCGAACGCCGCGGGGGTGGCCAGCCCCCAGGCGATCGGCGCCTCCTCGGCGACCTGGCGATGCAGGAGAAAGCTGTTCGAGATCAGCCCCCGCAGGTCGGTCTCGAGGTCGTGCTTGAACTGCTCCTTGTAGACGTCGAGCTGGCGCCGGACGGCGTTGAACTTGTCGATGTAGTCGGCGAAAACGTCCGGGAGGGCGGCGCAGCGCGCGACGTCGTCGGGGTCGACCCCGCCGAAGTTGTACAACTCCGACGTGATCAGGCTAAAGCGATCCTGCAAGGGCTCGAAGCGGGCGGAGATCGCGGGCAGGTTGTCGATCGCCTCGGCGCACTGGCGGACCTGCTCGCCGAGCTGATCCAGCGTGCGGGGCTCGCGCGTGAGGCCCTCGATGGTGGTGCGGAAGCCGCGGTACAGCAGGTCCAGCTCGTGCTTCGCATCGCTGTAGAGGAGCCCGTGGTAGTGCTTGATCACGAGCTGGCATTGCGTGCGGAAGGTCTCCTTCATTTTGTTGAAATCGAGCAGCAAAAAGTGCACCTCGGCGAAGGGCTCCTGCTTGTCCATCCCATCCCGCCGGTGCATGACGTTGTCCATGTTGATCCGGTAGTCCTCCGGCTTCCAGCCCTGCTTGATGCGCTTGTCCTGCTTCTCGGTCGCCCACAGATTGTCCGTCGAGAGGGATTGGTGAAGCCGCCAGATGTGGAGCAGCTTGTCCTTGACTTTATCGCTGATCGCGATAAAGGAGGTTTGGATGCGCTGAAGGGACAAGATGATATCCTCGTCCCCTGCCATGCACTCAAAGTAGGTCCCGCGCAGGTGAAGATCCTCCGTGGGGCGGCCTTGGTAGGCCACGGGGGCGAAGTTTTGCTCCGCGAGCTCCTCCGCGTTCTCGCCCGCGATGCGCGCGGCGAGGGAGTCCTCGATGTGGGGTAAATCCTGCACGGTCGCGATGATCTGCTTGCACACCTCGTTGACCTGCTTGGAGACGTCCTCGACGCTGGGCATCGCGAGGATGATCGGCTTGTTGACGTCCTCGGCGACGCTGATGACGACGTCGAGGCGGAAGACCTTATCGCACAGCCGATCCTCGGAGACCTCGGACGGGAGGGTGCGCTCGACCGTCAACAAAGACCGCTTGACCATCGTCTTGAGCGCCTCCTCGAGCTTTAGCTCGACGCTCTCCATCAAATGATGCCATTCCGCGCGCACCACCTCGTCGTGCGTGTAGTCCTCGCGGAAGTAGTGAAACAGGTGGTAAAGACGGTCCACAATGCGGCCAAAAACCCCCTTCAGCTTCGCCCGGACGCTTCGGCGATAGAGCGTTTGCCGCTCCACAAAGGCGGAGAGCACGGAGGTTTTCTTCAGCTCGAAGGAAACCGACAAGGTGTCCGCGATGGCCCGGCAAAAGTGATCCACAAAAATTAGCGTGTGTTTGTAGTCGTCGACGATGTTCTGCACGCCCTCCGTCTGGGACCGGCACTCCCGCACGTAGTACTCGACAATCCCGGGCGAATTCCACCACAATTTGGTCAGCCCGGGCTGGTATTTCGACTCCAGAAAGCGCAATCGCAGCATAAAAAGCCGCAGCTCCTCGCGGGTCTCCAAAGAGGTGATGACGTGGTTGTAGGTGCGAGTCACGAGGGCGATGTTCTCCCGGCAAACCCGCAGCCGCTCCTCCTTGGAGCAAATATCCTGCACGTGGGCCGGGATCGTCTCCCCGAGGCGCTGCCAATACCGCACCTCGTCAAACAACAACAGCAGCGGCTTCGGGAAGTTCACCTCAAACCGCGGCGGATCCTCCGTCGTCTTGCCGCCGTCCTGGCGGCGCACCAGCAAATAGCTGTCCAGGTACTCCGCCGGCTTGGACGGGAGGGAATCGCGCCAGTCCAGGTAATACTTCCGCACCGTCTCCTTCAGCGACCGCACGAGGCGGTCGTACAACTCCATCGCCTCCTGGGACTCGGGCGACTCCGGGAGGTAATAGCAGCGGTAAAGCTCCTCATAGCCCTGCGAGATCGCCGCGATGTTGTTGACCGCCCAGTACGCGTGGCCCGCGGACGGGGGGTGGAGATAAAACAGCGTGGGTTTTCGATTAAAGTAGCGCTGAATCTCCGCCTGGACCATCTTCACGCTGGTCATAAAAAGCCGAAAGACGAGATCCTTGCTGCGATCGAGCTGAAGCAGGAGCTCCTCGTTTCGGCTTAGGACGTAGAAGGCCTCGATGTATTCCGCCCCGGTCGTGGTCGTGGCGATGCTGTCAAAGGCCGCCGTGATGATCTGCCGCATCACCATCGACAGGCTGTCCATGTCCGTCTTCAGCACGCCAAAGTCGTCAATCCACTTGGTCGACTTGACGTCCAGGATGTTATAATCCAGCCCGCGGAGCATGTCGATCTTGGACTTGAAGGCGCGCTGGATGTCCATCAGCTGGGACTCGATCTCCGGGCCTTTGTTCCCGCTAAAAAGCGGCAGCCGCCCCTCAAACATCCCCTCCAACTCGGCCTGGGTGCCGTTGAGGTCGGGGAGTTGAAGGGCGGCCCGGCCGGCGTGGGGGTCGGTGGGGGGAAAAAAGGAGCCCCGAGGGGTCGCCTTGGCGCGCTGGGAGAGCCGATGCCGCGAGGGCCGCGACGACGCCGCGGCGGGGCTGCTGATGCTGCGAAAGCCGAACTGCATCTGCCCCTGACAGATCTCCTTCAGGTTCTGGCAGCGATGGCTGACGAAGCCGTCGATCTCGTTGAGCAAGGAGCCCTCGTCGATCTCGAGCTTCTCGCCCTTCTCGTGTTTGAAGCGGAGTTTGGTCGCGAGGAGCATCTTCCGGCACTCCCGCATCCACGCCTCGCCTGCGCTGATGCTTTCCTGCAGGGCCACCATACTCTGCGCGACGTCGCCGCGCAGGATGGCGGCGATGTCGATGCGCACACTACAGCGGCGGATGATCTCGTCCGAGACCATGCGCAGCAGATGGCAAAACCGCTCCTTTCGATAGTGCTTGGAGTGCATTAAGATAAACTGCGCCTTGACCAAAATATCCCCAATCAGGCCGGGGATTTCCTTCAGTTTGGCCACCGCGAGCCGCTCACAGGGGTCGATCAGGGTGCTCAGGAAGCAGAGGTTGTCAAAGGCCTCGACGGTCCCGCGCTCGATATCGGCCTGGAGGTCCAAAAAAGGCTCCAAATAATAGAACGACTTCGCCTCGCGCAGGATCGAGACGATCGCGCCGACGTCCGAGCGGTTGAGCTGGACTCGAATGTTATCCAAATCGCGCGCGCGGGATCGCCAGTAGTGGATCTCGTCGAGCGGCCCGCGCTCCTCGAAGCCCGCGTTGGCGCCCTGCTCGCCGATGACGGCCTTGATCTGGCGGGTCCAGTGGATGACGGTGGCCTCGTAGCGCTGGACGACCTCGCGGTCGTTCGAGGCGAGCGCGCGGTCGGCCCCCGTGAGGTCATCCGGGACGTACAACACCGTCCGCCCCCGCAGGTGGTTCACGTCCTCGACCATGATCGCCATAAATCGATGTAGGGCCGTCTGGACGTCCTTCTCGATGCTCGTCGGCCAGCGATTAAACAACAACGTCGGGACCAGGGCCTGCTGGAGGGTCCGCAGGAGCGACTCGAGCAGCCCGGGCCCGCGATAACAGGCCCACGCCACCGCCGTATCCATCGTCTCGGGCGATAGCGCCTGGTCCGACGCCACGCGGAGGAAGTACAGGACGTTCGCCATGCCGTCCGCCGCCTTTCCCTCGATTTCCCCCGCCCGCGGGGGCGGGAGGGACGGGGAAGGAGGG